AGCTAGCTAGCTAGCTAGCTAGACAAAATGATCCCTTCACATGATGCATACATGTGTGAGGCTTGCATAAGAAAAGTCAATTGAAGTAATTGGTTTATTTTTTTTCTTCAAATCAAATAGATTGAATAATTTAATAGGAGTTGATAATTATATAGGTGAACATATATGATATTAATAAGCATTAGGGTAACTGGACAATTTTATTAAAGACTAAAGATCATGGAACTGGTCCAAAGTGTGACCCTATCAAAAATCACAATTTATTTCAGTTAAGAAGGTCTTTCCAGCCAAATGGAATTTACAATCTTATGCACATTTTTATGGCACAAGGGCTTCTTTGACTGCCTCAGGAACTCGACTGGCATAATAGTCATGATTTTTTAAAGTAGCAAGGACTCCTCCTGAATTCATGTGTTTGACCTCTTTATTATAATTAAAAAAGTTCCCATGAATATCAGTAAGTTTGCCTGTGAAGAAAGAAAAGAAAAACATAACTCTAGATTTGAATGGTTTTAGACACAGTATCTGTATTTCTGCAAAAGGACAAACAATTAAAAGTAATTCATAAAAACTGAACATTCCTTTTCCAAATTATAGTTGGCTAAATTTGAATTTTTCCTTATGTTTCAGCATAACAGGTTAATACACAATATAATTAACGTGCTTTAATACACAAAACTGGCATCAAAATCAGTATAATTCTTCTGAACTTGGGTGTTTAAAGTTAGATCTTTTATACACACATCAACCTCCGATACCACCATATCTCATAAAAAAGCAATAATGGATTAGCTGGAAAATTAATAGTTATCTATTTGCAAGATTATGCTTACTCTGAAAATTATTTTGAAGCCGTGCTTAAGACATCTTACAATTAGAGAAGTATTTCTTCATTTTCTTTAAAACATACATGTTTTAAGAAATTAACTCTTAATTAATATGATTTTTAAAGTAACTACAACTTTTTTCAGACTTTCCTAGAAACCTAGAGCCTTGGTGGTAAAATGGTTAGAGTCCAGTACTGCAGGCTACTTCTGCTGACTGCCGGTTGCCTGCAATTTGGCATTTCAAATCTCACTAGGCTCAAGGTTGACTCAGCCTTCCATCCTTCCAAGGTGGGTAAAATGAGAACTAAAATTGTTGAGGAAAATATGCTGACTCTGTAAACTGCTTAGAGAAGGCTGTAAAGCACTGTAAAGAGGTATATAAGTCTAAGTGCTATTACTATTGCTATAAATAATAACAGCATATTTTAAAAGAAAAAGCAGGGTTTTGTGTTCTTTTGGGTTCTGAAGCACTTATTTCCAAACAATTTTCACAGGTTGCAGAGCCCAAGAATTCTATAATAGCATAATTGCCAACTTTTGTTTTCTTATTTATTTGTTTGTATTTTAAAAATTTAGAAATTGCTTTTTATTTCTTTTCATATCTGTCAATGTCAACAGATATGAATCAAAGAAATCTTAAATTTAAATCTAAATACCTTATGTATACTTATTGGCACGTACAGGCAAAAAATATCACTATCACATAACTATATAATCACTATCACTATAATTATATCACACAATTAAGAAGAGTAAAAATACAAAAGAGCAATCATTGTTAAACTATTGTCCAGCTACAGAAAGAAAAGTAGCAGAGATGACCATCAGCTAGGAAATAACATATATTAATCCAATAAATATTTCTGTACGCTTAATTGAAAAGAATATAAACATATTTTTAAAATACTAGGTTTAAGTTAGCATCGTTGGCCTCTTTGTTATATCGCTTTACAAAGAGAAATATTTATACATCTCCTTGTTTCTATTTCTCCGATGCATTTACTAACTTACCTCCAACTGCATGCAAAATAGCCTCTGGTGCACATGTATCCCACTTCTTGCATCCAGGACTGGCAAATACATAAGCAGAAGCTTTGCCTTCAACAAGTTGAATGATCTTATACAAATAAAACAACCTGAGTTGTTTAATATGCACATATGCAATGTTTTTAAAGATAAGTAATAAGTTTACATACAGATCAATGTTTTAGTTCTTGATTACTTTCTATGGCCTTTTTCCTTTGCTCTTATATATAGCGTGTGTGTGAGTGTGGGTGTATGGGAAGGTAGGTAGGTAGATAGGTGGTTGGTTGGTTGGTTGGTAGGTAGGTAGGTAGGTAGGTAGGTAGGTAGGTAGGTAGGTAGGTAGGTAGG